GTAACCGGCAAACCATAAGCGTGACAAAATAGGGGGCCTTTTGAAGATTGACCTGACTGACACAAATTCAATAAAGCGTTAACATGGCATTTTTGACCTGTTTCTCATATGTTCAGTTGAACTGGAGTTCCTCCTTGATTTGTTTTAAAAAGACGTAATTTAAAAAAAAGCCTACAAATGTCAAATCTGATTTCAGTTTTCATGCCGGATAACGCAATCAACTCGCTGATCTGAAACAAGCCATAATAGGCCAAGGTAAAAAGTGACCCGAAAAACATATAAGTTTTTCATAAATGTTATAACACACGCTCTTCAGTGTATCACACACACAAGGTGCGTATTGTTATTAGTGTCCAACAATCGTTAGTTATACGATTTCTGCGATAATGAAAACATCATTTATGTCGTAAACACATATACTTGATAAAAATCCAGGCCATCAATGTAAGTTGTAATAGTTTTGGGCGATTGTCCATTCTCAAAACAAAGTGCCACAAACAAAATCACGTAATTATTTGTAATAGACTATTTATTTAACATACCTTGATAGTCAAGATTTTTCGAACATATTGACGCTAGTTTGGTAAGTTTAAAGTGAGTTTGAGCTAGTCCCGATTGTAGCAATTGTACAACTCTAGACTGAACGCGTTCAATAGAAACTCTGTAAAAAGTCGCCCCGTACATTCAATCAGAGATGTTATATTTCCGATCCTTAAAGATCGTTCAGCACGACATTATTGTTGTGCTTGTGGTAATTTAGTTATTTCTATTCGGCTATTTTCTTGTTGGGTGGTTCCAGTATTCCCCACTTGAATACTGTTGAATCACCCTTAGGATATGTGGCCTGCTTTTTAAATTTGTCTTTTGACGTCTTATCATAACCTCTGATCCCCTTTCAAAATTCCATTTTATTTAGTTCCGCCCATTGTTTTCTCGTTAAGGGCACACCCATTTTTTACTTGGGAACCATATGCCGCTTTTCATGGAATGGCACTTACGTGTGACATTGAAGGTTCCATGATAACCGCCATATGAACACATCTGTGGATGCTTCAAAATTCAAAATTGTACCAGTTCATGTTAAATGTTGAATTCTGCTTAAGCCGGTGCTAGGGGGGGCGTGGACGGTAGTTTGCACTTGACAGTACCGTCCATGAACAGGCTCAATCAAACCGAGCCTGCAACATTTTCAGTTTTGCCGTGTTGGGCTTTCTTTAGGGATTCTTATTTTCTCTATTTTATCTGTAACCTGGCAAGGTTGAGGTCTGCTTCCGGTGCCAACTCCATGAATCAAGACAGCAGAAAGCAAGGCAAAGCATCACATATATCATTTTGACAGTCAGGGGTATGGTATGGCTTACTTTAATTAGAATGTCGAGTTTCAAACAGCGTTTGGCAACAATTCTAACAAGACACATGAGTGCTTCTGGATTTGATATAAACTAATTGAGTATATGTACCATTGCAATATTTTTACAATCTTAATTTATTTTTCTGTTAACTAATTCCTTGTCCCAAATAATTATCCGACTAAAATGAGAAAGAGTTCTAAAATAGTAATATCCGCGGTGATACGTTATTGGTGCCACCTAGTAATTCCATTTTTGCCGAAAAACGTTTGCATTTGTTTTTAAATTTGAAGTGTACACATGAGAAATGGAAATATCTGTTTATAAAATATATCATTAAAATATGTAAATATACAAAATATGATTTTTTGTTTGACAGTGTGTATTTATTCAAAATATGATGAATATTTAAAAGTACTGGTATTGATACATAATTTCTGCAGTACCGAGCTAAAATCAAGTACTGGTACTGGTAATGGTACTGCATACCTTGGCAAGTACTGGTAATGGTACTTAAGTACTACACCCTTAGTACTGATGCAGCTCTGCCAATGATCATTGAAGTAAACAGCAAAACCTAAATCATTACTCCTGGCACTATCTGAAAATAATCATTGATTGATTTGCCCGGTGGATATGATATATGATGGATCATTCTGAACTCCCCGGGGGTTTTCTTTGGGACAGACCAATCGACGAGACGATTATATTTGGCCAGGGACCCTAAATGAAAAGTCCAGCTTCTCCACCAGCTATAGTTTCTTATCAATTTGGCTATTTAACAGAGAAAAACGCAAAATATTGGAATCGCGCCCAACACGGGGGCCAGAATATTGTAATAGGAAGCATTCTTATGATGTACAAAGATAATTCGCTGATTTACTTGTTTGACTGCCCTCTATTGTAACATTTCCCTCTTTAATGGAACTGAAAACCCATACCTACACAATTACGTTGAAAAGCTGGTGTACGACCTTTCTGCGCAGAGACAACTGATTTTGAGGAGAAACGGTTTATCTCAGGATGGAGTGCATTACACTTTGCGCATAAGTTAGGGATTTTGAAGTTTGCCACGTGCATCTACCATTATTAAAACAAGACACGTGTTCTCAGGTTTTTAAACGTTTTGGGATTGATCAGACTGTCAAACTTCCATATACTGCCACCACAGGTCATAGTTGATTTTAGACCATGTGAAGGTGTATGCAAAACTGCTCATCATAAATTTTCAAGATCGTTCAGCACGACATCATTGCTGTGTTTGCGGTATTTTAGTTTGTTGGTTCCAATGTTTCTAATTGAATAATGTTAAATCACACTTAGGATATGCTGCCTGCTTTTAACTCTGTCTTTTGGTGTCAGATCCCCTTTTAAAATTCCATTTTGTTTAGTTCCGCCCATTTTTTTTCTCGTCTGGGGTACACGCTTTTTATTACTTGGGGACAATACACCGCTTTTCATGGAATGGCACTACTGTGTCACACTGAAGGTTCCATGATAACCGCCGTATGAACACATCTGCGGTTGTTTCAAAATTCTAGTTTTCATTTTTTAAATGTTAAATTCTCCTTAAGCCGGTGCTAGGGGGGCGTAGACGGTAGTTTGCACTTGACAGTACCTCCATCGACAGGCTCTCATGAACACTGTATTTGCAAGCTACATTTGGATGGCTCCCTGACCACGTTTTACCTATGACGGGGGGTTAATGGTATTTTGAGTAACCAAAAAAAGTATATTCAAAACATATTTGCAGATACATTCACTTTACTTAACTTTTCAGATTCAATTACGGTCATAGTCCATTGACGAAACAGATACATACGGAATTTTACACATTTGTTGATCGAGTTTTGATGTCACGTGTTTTTATTGGCGATATATACATGTACATACATTAAGTCTTAAGGGAAAAATATTCTGGTTTTTATTAAGATTTATAGAAAATTCTGGAAACAAGTGATCTCTCGGAAGCATTAATCACAACAAATTACAAGAGAATTGCAGACTCGGTTTGATTGAGTCTGTACATGAGGGATAATGAATACGTGCAACATCCCTCACGCCCCTTAGCACCGGCTTGAGCGGTACTCAATTCTAAACTTTTAATAGTGCTGGCATCAATGATCCCGAAGGACCAGAAAATATAACAACACTGAAGTGAAGTACGGGGCAATTTTTTACAGCTGCCACACGGCACTTGACACCTGCTGTTGTGAAGTATAAAATTCTATAACAACAATATTCTGTAATGCACAATTGTGCTTATCTGATGCATAGTATCCCTCTCGTTGATTGAATAAAGTTGTATTCAAATTTGCCCTGAAGGTTCGTTGGAATCCAACTATTCACAATAAACTTCAGCGACAAATACCAACAGAAAGCTCATAAATATAGCAATTTTACATATATCTTCACCTTTGTTTAGAATTAAAGATGAACATATATTTGTTAAGTTAAAAAACTGCAAATGTCCTCCATGCATTTTAGTATAGAAGGGTCAAGTGGGCTACCGGGTAAACCGAGGGACCTTCTGCAAGCTAGGTGGTAAGAAACCCCACGAATCTCAGGTGAATTTGCACGGAAAGTGGTGATACACGATTGATTCCACAAAACCATCAGGTTACACCCTGGTATTTTAATAAAAATCTTGTTATCAAATTATTAAACCCATGTTTTTTAGGATAAGCAATTGATATTCAAAAGTATCCGTTTTTCAGCACTGCGTTCTTCCTTTAAATAAATTGTATTTACTTCTTCACTTGAGTCATTGTAGTTAATAAACGTTCTTTATAGTTTGAGAATTCAAAAGACATTTCTTAGGTTTTTAATCATTCAAAAATTTATATAGATTTATGTTTACAATGTTTTCCACAAAGAAATCCACATTTGAAAACTATTCAAGGAACACAGTATAGAACTCCCCTTCAGTATCGTTGTAAACCGAAACTGGGATAGTTTAAATACGCAACAATATAAAACGACAAATTCATGAACTAGGCTGATAATTTACTTCGCCCACTCACGGTACCATGTACACTACGGTTGGACAATTCACCACGGTGTACCGGTTAATGCAATATTACCGTCCTATCAGGAAATTTGGTAAATGTTTGATGTTCTCCTGTACGACCTGTCAACAGAATATTTGGTAAAATTTCAATGTCCAGCTGAATGTCTTATGTCGAACCCTGCGCTCAATTCACACACTTAACCGGGCGTGTTTAGATGGTCAACAATGATATTTACGCTTAAGTCAGGAATTTAGTTTCAGAATTTTTGTAAACGGAACTTTTAGACTAAAGGTGGTAGACATAATACATAATACTTATAATTTTTTAATATATTATTTTCAATTAACAAGCAAAAGGTAACCATAAACCATTTACTAAAGTGAAGGCAAATTGAATATTTATGTGTTAGTGAAATTCATGATCACTTTTCATAAATAATGGGAACGATTAAAATATGAATTTAGTTTTAGGTTTAATTAATCGACTGTTTTACACTTGAAGAGGAGAACGATATGTTTTCTTTCTAAAACGCAACTTCATTATAGATTACATCCCTTCGTTGCAAATTTATATCAATTTTATACATTTAAGCTATATCTGACGGTTTATCATTTGTTAAATTTTAATTTGCACGGCTTTTAGAATCAAGTAAAATAAGCTAAAACAAATAAATGAGTAATGGATGGGAGCTGATAGCTTTGAATTAGGATTTTAAAATCTTCCGATTCTCGTTCATTTATTCGTCAATAACAGAAAACGGAAATTGTCGGAAAAAATTACGGACGATCCCGGAGTAGACCGGAATAATCGGATACATTCGCTACTACAGTACAAAATGGAGTCGAGCAGCAGCACTGTAAGTGGTTTTTAAATGTTTATCATTATTTCATCGTGCTTTTGCAGATATTTGATTGCTATTTGCGATCATTTTAATGTCTTTAACATTTCCATATACTGGCTTATAGTACGGTTGATTGAAAAGTTTCAATTTTCTCGATAATGTGAAAACTTTGAAAAGGGGCGCCCACAGGGTTTTTGTTTACGATGCTGTAAAGTTTAAGATTTCTTTACTATGTTTAGGCAAGCATATTTATAGTCATTGATAATAACATTTACACGAACCATATTGCGTTATTTTTGCAGGTCATGTTTATTTCTTGTAAAGAGCATGCAAAAATAATACAGTAGCAGACTGATGTGCAAAAAAGCACAACAGACATTTTAGGCAAATTATTGAAAAAGTTTGATGTTCTGTCAGAAATATTTGTTAATCATAATTTTATTGCCTATGCAAATTTATTGCCTAATTTTTATTGGTTTTTCTTTGCCTTATAATTATATGAAAGGTGAAATTTTGACAGCTACTGATAGGAAAAGTGCGGTACGTTACGATACCGAAATCAACTTTTCATTACCGAAATCAACTTATAAAATCACAATTAAGCGTTTTATGACATTTTTTTATAATAATATATTACAATAGGTTAAGTTTGACTTTCATGCAAAAAATCAGTTCGAAAGAATCTATTAATAATGAAATTAGAAACAAATAACTAAATATCAAGATTATTCCCTGATTTGTCACGAACCAAAATATATGTTAAAATACCGAAATCGACTTGTTAAATCACAATTAAGCGTTCTATTATATTTTTTCCATTATAATCTATTACAATAGGGTTAGTTTGACTTTCATGCAAAAAATCAGTTCGAAATAATTATTTATAATGAAATTAGAAACAAATAACTAAATATCAAGATTACTTCGAACCGAAATATATGTTACCATACCGAAATCGGCTTGTAAAAGTTAAAATAAACATTTTAATAGATCTTGTTTAATTAATTGATATAAAGTCATTCAAACTGAACCATAAACAAAGGAAAATGATATTTAATTATAAAAATGATGATGTTATAGACGGATATGTATATTATATCATGATTACTTCCCTTGTTATTAATGTGTTGCATTACCGAAATCAAATCAGATTTCATTTCAAAGATGTGAACAACCCCTAAATAATTTGCATGAATTTCAGAAATAGTTGATTGGAAATAATCACAGTATTTAATTTGAATCCAATGATTATGATTTGATTAAAATAAAAAGACGTAGCGGTAGCCATTCATCATAACACCTTTACTAATAAGGAGCAAGCATACACGTGCTCGGACAATGGAGGTGTTAGTTGACATAACATATTCGTTCACCGCAATCCTTTAATATACATCGGCGCATGGAAACTTTAAAGTATCCAAACAACATAATTAGACATAATTATTTTACATGAAATTAAAGCTGCTTGTCTCCATTAAGACAAAAAGCACATTACAGTTTAATATAAAATGACGTATAGCGACCATCCCTATATAATATATATCAAAAGACTTTTTTTATAGTTTTATAGTATAAATATTTCAGATCTAGTAAGTTGGTAAAAATATAATTTTATATTAAATAAATTGTCAAAAGATCTGTTTTAACTAATATATAGGGGTGGTCGCTATACGTTTCCGTAGAAAACATTTCGGTATTATTACCAAATTGCATATCAGTTGTTCCAAAAATGTATGCAATTTTTGATCCCGGATATTTAACTACATATTCTACTTATTGAAAAAGTGTTAAGTCATGATTTTATGTTGATCGATTTAAAATCATTTTAAATTTCATATCTGTAAACAGCATAAATTTATGGAATGACTGGTATATATTTATATGATGGAAAAAATGGAACACTTTATACTGACAAATTTCAATTATGAAATGTTGTATCTTGTACGATTTGACATGTTGTGTATTTCTGTATTACTTTTTTTTTTCAGCATTGTCATAAAAGATCATTCAAATGTAGAAAGTACGGCTGAAAATATACGTCGCGAACCAAGGCTAGTTTGGGATGAAAATAAAGTACCCCAATTTAGGACTTGTCTTATTAATAGTAATGATTTGCTTCAACGATTAAACGACGAAATTATTTCGCGCGTTCATCCGATTGATCACGTGATACACGAACTGAATGAATTGTTATCTACAAACGCATATAACGTATTTGGTAAATCCGATTGTGTGAAAGATAAATATTCTCGGTATCCAAAAAATAAATGGTTTGACACAGAATGCTTTAATGCGCGAAAATCATTCAAAATAACGCGCAATGCATTTATTAGACAAAAAAATGAAGAAAATAGACTTGCTTTCATTCATTCGCGTCAATATTATAACAAAAGAAAAAATGCTGCAAAAAGAAAATTCAAAATAAACGAAGGTAAACGAATCTCAGAACTAGCAAATAAACAGCCGCGGCAATTCTGGAAAAATGTTAAAAAAAGTTATAAACGTAAACAAGAATTAGCGAAAAATTTAACAGTCGAGCAATTGTTCGAGAATTTTAAAGAATTATTTGGTGAAAACGCGTCCATAGAGTCAGAAGAGCCAAATCTGGATCAATATGTACTTTCAGACGACGATCTTAACTGCGAAATTATGGAAACGGAGCTTCATTCCGCTGCATTTATTGCAAAATAATAATAAATCCGCTGGTATCGATGGTCTTACAGCTGATTTTTTTAAAGCAGCATACGACATTTTGTCGCCTCTATCATTATATCTTTATAAAAGTTTGTTTAAATAAAGCGATTATCCGGAATCGTGGGGTAAAGGCATTATAACACCAATATTTAAAAAGGGCGATATAAACGACCCAAAGAATTACCGCGGTATTACGCTAATAAACGTAATAGCCAAAATCTACTCCAAAATTTTATTAAACAGATTAACGAAATGGACAGAAAAAAACGAAAAGATATCAAAAAATCAGTTTGGATTCCAAAAAGGGAAGTCGGTTGTTGACTGTCTGTTTATTTTTCATTCAGTTGTTTTAAAAGTTCTAGAAAATGGAGAGAAACTATACAGTGTATTTATTGACTACGAAAAATGCTTTGACAAAATTGATAGGTCTTTTCTATGGAAAAAACTTTTAATGGAAAATGTGAGTTAGATATAATGGCAAATTTTCGGAATTTTTCGACTCGAACCTCGGTTTGAAGCAAGGAGACCCCAGTTCTCCTCTGCTGTTCATGCTATTCGCAAATGACATTATTGATAACATTAATACAAATTTAGATGGTTTATTTACTGTAAACGAGCTCAAACTATTTTTAATCCTTTTTGCCGACGACCAGGTTCTGTTTGCAAAGTCGCCGACATCATTACAATCTATGCTTAAAGATGTTGAAAATTATTGCACAAGGTGGAATATGAAAATCAATACATCAAAGACCAAGGCAATGGTTTTTGAGAAAGGACGTCATCATACACAGTATGATTTTTTCATCTATAATACAAAAATTGAGATTGTTGAAACGTTCAAATATTTGGGTTTAACCCTTTTTAAAAACGGAAATTGGTTCAGAAGTCCCAAGGGAACAAAGACTTTGTAAATCATGTAATATGTCAATGGTCGAAAATGAATACCATTTTTTGATGGTCTGTCCACATTTTAGAGATTTGAGAAATAAATATTTTAAACGCTATTACTGCCAGTGGCCGACTTTGAATAAATTTAGGGCTCTCATGTCAACAAACTCTACAAAAGATTTATTGAATTTAGCTAAATTTGTTTACTTTGCAAATAAAAGAAGAATTGTGTAATTTTTTTTCATTAGAATCACGTAAATATTGTTAATATTTCAATAGGGTTATATATATGAAATGATACATTTACATGTTTATTCGACATTACATAATCATGATACTTTTTTCAGAATAATGTTTCATTAAACAATCTCTTCTGATAACTGTATAATTTATTATGTAAAAAATGCATTTTGTTGTTTGCTTTTCTTTCTTCTATGTTTTTGTTCACACTGTACAATAGAATTTGTATAGGCTATAAACATTGTTAAAACATGTTTAATGCTGAATAAAATTTTCGTATTCGTATTCGTTTTAAGTAAGGTGTGAAGTAATTAAGACAGGAGGTACAGTTGGCATACAATGTATGTTAAAGATAAAAGATTATAATGAACCATCTGTTTATGTCGTAATAAACATTTAAATAAATGACTAAAATTTAAAAATATTATATTAAAGAGAACCCATAACAAATGTTAGCGATTTGTTAATATATAGTTTAACTGTTCAATAAAAGAAAGACACAAACTTTCCAATTTCCAATTTTACTGCCTGATACATTATACAATTTTTATGGAACATTTTTAGAGCAGTCGAATTATATATCTGTATTCAAATTTATAATAGAAAATCATAAACTTCCGGTTGAAGTTGGATATTTTTTCTTCATAAAACATAAGCATGTACAAATTTTTTAAATATCTTTAACTCATATTACAGAGTATTTTATGTTTCCATCATAGTCCGATCATAGCTTTTTAAAAATATGATTTGATTAGAAAATTGTTATGCACGACAATCACGTGCAGATATATAACATGCTTATATGGCGGTATTAGACTTTTTCTTAAATCATTATATTCATTGCTTTCTAATATGAAATGGTATTCGTCTTCTAAGACATTACATGAAAAACATTTGCTATCATTTAAAGGTGTATTATTTGGTTTAGTTCATCTACCTGATTCTATGTGCAATCTATGAGATGATATACTCTTAACCTAGTGAGATCCGTTTAACATTGATAATATTTAGATATGGTTGAAACTTAAAAACAGAAATATGTCTATAAAATAGAGCTCTACTAGAGTTATCTAATCTAATATCTACTAATTATATACATAATTTAAACTTCACAGCTGATTTCGGTAATGCTAAACACATAACGGGTTGTTTAGAACAAAGGGAAGTAACTCAATAATTACATTTTTGTTAATAACATCAATAAAATACAATATTTTCAATAGATTTTTTAACTGAAAGTCTATTTCATTATTTTTCATCAAATAATGAAGAAATAATAGCAATATTCTAACTAGTTTTAGTTTTTACGAGTTGATTTCGGTAATGAAAAGTTGATTTCGGTAACTTTACCGAAATCAAGTTGATTTCGGTATCGTAACGTACCCGGAAAAGTGTATTTTATAAGTAAAATTTATCAGGAGGACTTAGGGCACTATACTTGTTATAGGTAAAGAGTCAACCCGGCCCTATACCAACTCGGCACAGGTCAACACGGCCCACTTTTGAAAAAAGCATATTAAACGTATTAACTTTTTTATTACTGTACTTGCATGTTATCCAGGCAAGTTGTTTCAAATGACAAATAAGAGATATCTGGTATATTATTATATAACTGTACAATATACTTCTGTAGAATTAAAGTATATTTAGAGGATATTTCTTTTGTTCCTTTTTGCAGATTCTTTAAAAATTAGTTACCTTTGATGCTTTTGTTTATAAAGTAATCTTCAATAAAATATTAAATAAAAACGTGCCAAGTTGGAATAGGGCCGAGCTGACTCGGGGGCCGATTACGTTTTAGAGCCGAGCTGACCCTGACTCCTTGTTATATAATAATATATTTAAACATAGCTTTTTTATTTATATTAGAGTTCACCAGCTTCTTCAGTAATGGGGCAAGAATCGGCTGATTCTGAAAGTGCAGGGATAAGAGGCAGGGGTGGAAGAGGGAGAAGGACTAGAGGAAGGGGAGGTCGTGCAGGAAGTCGAGTTGTGGAAGGAGACCAAGGTGGATCAAGTGCTGGAAGAGGTAGAGGACGGGGAAGAGGACGAGGGAGAGGACGAGGGAGAGGACGTGGAAGATTGGGCACTGGTCAGCCGGTGCATAGAAAAACCGGAAAGCACCGGATAGCACCGAAAAACCGGAAAGCACTCAAATTTCTCATAAAAACATATGAAAACGTTAATTAATCGGCTTGAAAGTGTTACCAATCGATTTATTAGATCAAAATCTTACAGACAAGTCATTTTTTTAAAAATATATTGATAATTATTACGAGTATTTAGGAAAATAGATATATCGAGTGCTTTCCGGTCCTGTTAAGATACATGTACATAACCGGATAGCATTATTGTTTATCGAAGTTATACATGAAAACTTTATTTTATTGGTTTGAAAGTGTTACCAATCGATTTATTAGATCAAAATCTTTTAGACAACACGTTTTTGTAATTGTATTATGATTATTATTACGATTATTTAGGAAAAAAGATATATCGAGTGTTTTCCGGTCCTGCTAAGGTACATGTACTTAACCGAATAGCAATATAGTTTATCAAAGTAATACATGAGAACTTTATTTTATTGGTTTGAAAGTGTTACCAATAGATTTATTAGATCAAAATCTTTCAGATAACATGTTTTTATAAATATATATTGATAATTATTACGAGTATTTAGGAAAACTGATATATCGAGTGCTTTCCGGTCCTGCTAAGATACATGTACATTACCGAATAGCAATATTGTTTATCCAAGTAATACATGAAAACTTTATTTTATTGGTTTGAAAGTGTTTTCAATCTATTTAGTAGTTGAAGCTCTGTATATCATGACGTTTTTATAATTATTTTATGTTTCATTACGCGATTTTCAAAGTTGCTACAAAGTTGTATTGATTGCTTTCCGGTAATGCTAAAGTACATCTACTTTACCGAATAGCACTCGAATATTTATATAAATCACATTAAACCTTCATATTAATTATGTGAAAGTGTTATAAATTGATTTATTAAGTTGAACTTATTTTATTTAAAAATATTATGATTAGTTACACGATTTTTCAATCTTGCTCATACCATATATCATATTGTATCATATTTCTAATATTTTATAGGTTGTGTGAAGGACAGAAAGATGATGTGTAAAAAGTACCAAGAAGTTATTCAAAGCATTGAACCATATTTATTATTATTATATTTTATATATTATGTAAAATAAAGAAAAAATTTCGTTCAGTTATGTCTTTATTTTGACCATACTATGTGTACCGAAAAGCAATGTGGTCATCAGTGGAGGACAGTAGTTGTTGTATTGTTTATCACACGTGCTAATCCATGCTGATTAAAGACCTTGTATATTGTAGCACACAAAGGTGATGATTTAATCAAATTGTATACAATTATGATAATTGAGAGTACCGACCTGCACATCAAAGTTGCATTAATCCGACACTGTCCTTTACATGCAAATTAAATTAAAATATAGAAATTTATAATCAACATTATTTTCTAAATGAAATCCGAAAAAAGAAGAAGACATATTATATCTGTTGATGTATTCTATACTTGAACCCATTCTATTACTAACTAACGTAATTTATGCGGGCAGAACCTGAAAAATTAAATGGCACATATAACAAAAAAATTTTTAAATATTGTAAAAA